GTGTTTCCCCATGTCACACAGTAAAAATGATAAAATAAGGAATACTGTATGATCTTTAAAAAGCACACACACACACACATATATATATATAAAAAGACGTACCTGTTGAGTGAACTGAAAAAGGAGCAGGACATGGTGAAACAGGCAGTCTGTAGGAACCTATGAGAGTAATTGTGAGTTGCAGGATTATATCAATATGTACCCTTAATTCCACTCCACTAACAGGATACCTACCGGTATTCTATATGAAGGCAGGAAACCGGTACAAAAAGACTAAAAGCAGCAAGGATGGCCTAATACTTAGCAATGTAGAAAATTTACACATAAGGATCAGGCCTTATGAGACCAGAAGTGGACAAATAACCGTCAATCACTAACCTATATACCTGGTGAAATGGTAGAAGAGTAGAAGCACAATTGTTGGGTACTTGTTGAAACTGAAACATAAGACATCTATAATCACTTTATGGAATCAAAATGACAAAATACCCTTAAAAGAATATATTTGTTTTAATTGTATTACACAATGCAATAATTTTCTTTTGCAGATCAACATCTGAATTCTCTTTATATTCTGCATTGTGTCTATTTTGTAAGGGGATATCCATTGGGGAAGGCTGTATATTGCATTACAAGATAAGTGTTTTCTCCCCACCTAACACCGAGGGTCGGCTTGTGGATTATTTGTATATACACATTTTTTTATTTTTATTTGTCAGAGAATTATTTCAGAATTACAGCCATATGTCTCAATATTATCATTGAACATTTTAGCTGCAATTTGCAAACCTTGATTTATTCTTTGTCTGTGAATTCTTTCATCATTACAGCCATATGTGTTAACATTATAATTTAGTATCCAGAAGATGTAATCTGATATGACTATTTTCTGTAATGTGTATTCTCTTGTGTGTAATTCCAACTGTAAACTTGTTTGTGTTCACAATGTCTTAGTTTGTTGACCAATATGATTAGGCGATTTATCAAATTACTCCCTTTGGTTGTAAAATCTGTTAAAAAGGAATATTTGGAACCATTGGGTAATTTGAGACTCTGTGACACACATCCTAATAACAAAGCTGATGAAAGCGGCATTTTTCAACTGGGTAGAATTTGCATCAACAGTTGAAAAGCTGTATGTGAAATATGTGATAGGCATGCCATAGGAAAATAAAGCTAAAGTTTATAGTGAATTATAAACTGCTGACACTTTCAACACTTAAATTATGTAAAAAAGAAATGGATGTTTTTATTTGCTAGTCCCTTTTCCATTTGCATTCATGCTGAAGACATGCAGACACCCACTTTTTGGGTGGAAGTAGGTGAATGATACGAAGGTTCATCTACTGTTAAGTGAGTGAAGGATGTCGGTGAAAAGCTGGGAGGGTAAAACATGAGAACCTTCAGTATTTGCTGTCAGACACTGCACCACTATCATACAGATGTCTGTGAATCTTGTTTAAGTTACTGGATACCCAGTGCTTTATCACCTTACTGGACGTTTTTTCAATCATTGAGTATTTCTACTTAAAAGCATTAACTGGGGCCTTTAATTGCTGTATATGTAGTCTAGTGATGACATCCAGGCATTGTTTATAAATATTTATTTTTCTTTTTCTTCTAATTTACTTACTTAATTTACTTTAGCTTTTAAATGTATTATTCAATGAAAAACATATAGTGAGCACCATGGGAATATTGAGCTGACTCTGTGCTGATAGCAGTGATTTTCTAGCTTATTAACTGGATCAGAGCCAGAGCCGATTCTGGGTGGGTGCAGACCACACAAACGCTCTGTGCATAGGTGGGGTGTTCAGTGTTAGCTTCTGCCCACTCAGGTAAGTTCCACCCCTCTCATTAGCTGATTTTGTATAAAGGTTCTAATGGTAACATTTGATGCAATAGTACTGTTTGCTATACTTGGTTATAATTAACCGCATTATCAAATTTATGTAAGCACTGTCCTTTTAATGTCTGATTTTATGTTGCCCATTTTTGTCAATTCTTAAAAAATGAATAAAGATTATTGAAAAAAAAAAAGAAAGTCCATTGTGTATAAAAAGTCTCTAAGGGGCTCCCTTGAACCGATTAGATCCTTCTCTGAGTTGCTGGTTGCCATCTGGGCCTTGTGAATGGTTAGGCCGGCGGTAATTTCCACAATGGTTTTCTCCAACCTTTCTGTGCTTGCCATCTAGTGTGTTGAGGCTTTGCCTGCGGTGTCTCCATCTCCGTGAGGTCATACCAGTCACTTCCATGATAGGGATACCTAGGCATTTGGTGAACTCTGCTGCGTCTGCCGCTGTAGAGAGTGAGATTTGCGTCCCTGGTATAAGGCAATAAGGAAAAATGGGAATCCCCACCGGTATTTGTTGTAAAGCTTGTGTTATCGGCCTCAGCGCTTGTCTCCTTCTTAATGTCATCCATGACAGGTCAGGGAGGAGTTGAATTTTCGTATTGTTGCAGTTGATCTCTGAGGCATCCCTTGTGCTTCTCATAATTACTTCCTTTTCCGAGTAATAGTGCACTCTGCAAATTATGTCACGTAGTGCTTCTTGTGCAAGGCCCTTGGGCATTAGTGCCCTGAGTGCTCTATCTAGGAGAATTGGTGTTTCTTCCGTTCACTGCAGAACTCTATTGAATAGTGTTTGTAATAGGGCTTGGAGATCAGTGGGGCCCTGCGCCTCTGGCAGCCCCCTGGACTCTTATATTGTTCCTGCAGCTTCTATTGTCTAGATCTTCTATAATTTTTATGTTGTGTAGGAGCTTGGTATCTCTAATTTCTTGTCCATGTTCCAGTGTGAGAAGTCTGTCTAATATTTGGTCACTGTCTTCTTCCAGGTCACCTACTCTGTTGCCGACCTGTCTGACCTCCGTTGCCAGAGAGGAAATCTGGTCCTGTACTGAGGCTTTCAGCTGAGCTAGTATAACCACAATGTCATCCTTCGAAGGTAAGCCTTGCAGGATTTCTTTGATGTCCACCATTCTGGGACCTGAGGATTGCTCTGACAGGGAAGGGCTGTATGGTGGTGAGTCACGTGGCGTCCACATCCGTCGCCAGCACTGGCACTTTGTCCCTGATGTATTTATCCACATCTCCTACTCTTCTGGTTGCTCCCGGGTCTGGGGTGTCAAGGGGCACGCTAGATTTGTTTGGTGTCACTGTATCGGCTATTTTAATTCCGCTATTGGGGAGCTTATTTAGGATGCGACCGCTCACATTGATAGTCAGAACACGCCCCCGGAGCCATGGGTAATTCGAGACTCTGTGACACACATCCTACTAACAGAACTGATGGAACTGGAATTTTTCAACTGGGTAGAATTTGCATCAGTTAGAAAGCTGTGTGTGAAATAAGTGATATACATGCCATAGGAAAATAAAGCTAAAGTTTATGTCAGTGAAAAGCTGGGAGGGTAAAACATGAGAACCTTCAGTATTTGCTGTCAGACACTGCACCACTATCATACAGATGTCTGTGAATCTTGTTTAAGTTACTGGATACCCAGTGCTTTATCACCTTACTGGACGTTTTTTCAATCATTGAGTATTTCTACTTAAAAGCATTAACTGGGGCCTTTAATTGCTGTATATGTAGTCTAGTGATGACATCCAGGCATTGTTTATAAATATTTATTTTTCTTTTTCTTCTAATTTACTTACTTAATTTACTTTAGCTTTTAAATGTATTATTCAATGAAAAACATATAGTGAGCACCATGGGAATATTGAGCTGACTCTGTGCTGATAGCAGTGATTTTCTAGCTTATTAACTGGATCAGAGCCAGAGCCGATTCTGGGTGGGTGCAGACCACACAAACGCTCTGTGCATAGGTGGGGTGTTCAGTGTTAGCTTCTGCCCACTCAGGTCAGTTCCACCCCTCTCATTAGGCCCCACCACATCTCTCATCTTCCTCCAATCATGAGGGTGGGGGATGCCTAACTGAGTTGGCACAGCCTAATGCTGAACTCCCCTCCTATATACAGAACACCAGTGTGCATAGGGTTAAAACAGCAGGATACTAATAGACGCATTATTACATTATTACAGCGAACAATATAATTATTCTGCAGACAATATGATTACTCTGCAATAAGAGCCAAGAAGTAGCTAGCATGGTTAACAGAAGCCACAATCATTACAGATTAAAATCGAGAGAATCAACTTAGTCACCTGAGACTATTGAGGAAAAAGAAAAATATATTAGACACGTATAGGTATCTCTGCTACTTTGAAGATGGCTGCTTGCTTGTCTTTTATATGCTCCTGAATAAAGATACCAACACCATGCATTAACTTATGTGCAGCTTTCTTTGCTGTCCTAATGGAAACTCAGTGGGACTCTTTTGAAATTTGTTCTAAAAAGAGGCAGGGCACATGCAAGCCTTGCTTTTTGGCATGCTTTGTTGCTCTCAATAAAGCTTCTCCAGACAGCCATCAGAGTAGGCTTGCGGAACTGAAACATTTCACAGAATTAAAAAAACCCTGATTTTATGTAATTAACTTATAACTTTATTTATTTTATATTAACAAACATAGTAATAGCATATTTAATAGGATGTTTTTGATATACCTAATGTAATCCTAAATAAACAATATATGGGGTTTTGTTGATAAACTGTAACAAGGCCTTCAATGAATTCTTTACACATAATATTTTATAGAGCTACAGTTGCAGGAAAAAGTATGTGAACCATTTGGAATGATATGGATTTCTGCACAAATTGGTCTAAAAATGTGATCTGATCATCAAGTCCCAACAATAGACAATCACAGTGTGCTTAAACTAATAACACACAAAGAATGAAATGTTTTTATTGAACACACCATGTAAACATTCACAGTGCAGGTGAAAAAAGTATGTGAACCCTTGGATTTAATAACTGGTTGAACCTCCTTTGGCAGCAATAACTTCAACCAAACGTTTCATGTAGTTGCAGATCAGACGTGCACAACGGTCAGGAGTAATTCTTGACCATTCCTCTTTACAGAACTGTTTCAGTTCAGCTATATTCTTGGGATGTTTGGTGTGTATTGCTTTCTTGAGGTCATGCCACAGCATCTCAATTGGGTTGAGGTCAGGACTCTGACTGGGCCACTTCAGAAGGCGTATTTTCTTCTGTTTAAGCCATTCTGTTGTTGATTTACTTCTATGCTTTGGGTTATTGTCCTGTTGCAACACCCATCTTCTGTTGAGCTTCAGCTGGTAGACAGATGGCCTTAAGTTCTCCTGCAAAATGTCTTGATACACTTGGGAATTAATTTTTCCTTTCGATAATAGCAATCCATCCAGGCCTTGACGCAGCAAAGCAGCCCCAAACCATGATGCCCCCACCACCATACTTCACAGTTGGGATGAGGTTTTGATGCTGGTGTGCTGGGCCTTTTTTTCACCACATATAGTGTTGTGTGTTTCTTCCAAACAACTCAACTTTGGTTTCATCTGTCCACAGAATATTTTGCCAGTACTGCTGTGGAACATCCAGGTGCTCTTGTGCAAACTGTAAACGTGCAGTAATGTTTTGTTTGGACAGCAGTGGCTTCCTCTGTGGTATCCTCCCATGAAATCCATTCTTGTTTAGTGTTTTACGTATTGTAGATTCGCTAACAGGGATGTTAGCATTTGCCAGTGACTTTGTAAGTCTTTAGCTGACACTCTAGGATTCTTCTTCACCTCACTGAGCAGTCTGCGCTGTGCTCTTGCAGTCATCTTTACAGGACGGCCACTCCTAGGGAGAGTAGCAGCAGTGCTGAACTTTCTCCATTTATAGACAATTTGTCTTACCGTGGACTGATGAACAGCAAGGCTTTTGGAGATACTTTTATAACCCTTTCCAGCTTTATGCAAGTCAACAATTCTTAATTGTAGGTCTTCTGAGAGCTCTTTTGTGCGAGGCATCATTCACATCAGGCAATGCTTGTTGTGAAAAGCAAACCCAGAACTGGTGTGTGTTTTTATAGGGCAGGGTAGCTGTAACCAACACTTCCAATCTCATCTCATTGATTGGACTTCAGTTGGCTGACATCTCACTCCAATTAGCTCTTGGAGATGTCATTAGTCTAGCGGTTCAAATACTTTTTCCACCTGCACTGTGGATGTTTACATGATGTGTTCAATAAAAACATGGCAACATTTCATTCTTTTTGTGTTATTAGTTTAACCAGACTGTGATAGTCTATTGTTGTGACTTAGATGATGATCAGATCACATTTTATGACTAATTTGTGCAGAAATCCATATCATTCCAAAGGGTTCACATACTTTTTCTTGCATCTGTATATCCAATATATTGTACATAGGAAACCTGTGGGGATTGGGTCCAGAGATCTTACTTAAATATTAAACTAGAAACATAAAATTAGTTTTAATTATGGAGCCCAATTTTATTAATATTCCCATATAAATGGGTTTTGGTATTTATTTCAGGTCTGAATATAACATTGAAACATTTTGGGAAAAATATACAGGCTAAAAGTCCAGCACTTGAGGTCAAAATGGCAAATATCTCTACAGCCACCATGTACTTCCCTTTGGTGCTCAGATAGGCTGGGATCATAGCAATCCAAACACTGCAGAATACCAGCATGCTGAAGGTGATGTACTTGGCTTCATTAAAACTGTCCGGTAATGTCCTGGCTAAAAAAGCTATAATAAAACTAACAGCTGCCAGGAATCCCATGTAACCCAGGACAGAGTAAAAGGCAATAACTGAACCTTCATCACACTGAATGATGACAGTTCCTTGATGAGAATGTGTGTCCAGTTCCATAAAGGGGGGTGAAATAGCCAACCATATTACATTAATTATAATTTGAACAGCAGAACAGCAGCATACGAAACAATTGGAGACTTTTAAACTAACAAATCTTTTCCAGACACTGCCGGGTTGAGTGGCTTTAAAAACAAAATAGATAATTATAGTTTTACCCAAAATGCAAGAGATTGCTGTTGAAAAAAGTATTCCGAAAGCAGTTTGACGCAGCATGCAGGTTATATCCTCGGGACGACCGAGGAACAAAAACACACAGAGAAAGGTCAGCATGATGCAGACCAGAAGGACAAAGCTGAGATTCCTGTTATTGGCTTTAACAATAGGCGTGTCTTGAAAGCAAATAAAAATGACTAATATCATAACTGTTATAAGGAAACACAAGATTGAGAGAAAGGACAAAATGATGGCAATAGTATCATTTCTGTACGCTAGAAATTCTTCCAGTTTTGGAATACACCGATCTTTCCTCTCATTGGGCCATTCAGTGCTTAAACATTTCTCACAGTTTTCACTATCTGTAAAATAGTAAATAAAATATTATTTGTATGTGAACAAATATAGATTTACAAAAGCCTATTTAACCCCTTCGTTACCAATGGAATGCAAATACACTACCTCCAGGATACTAGTAATTTTGATATCCTTGAAAATAATATTTAAATGTTTTATTGTTTCAGTATGGATAGCACGTTATTAGATGGAAACAAAAACTAACATTTTAGTTGGACAGAAACACTTTATAAAATCATGTACCTAATAATGAAGTTTCAGACAAGGAACCAGTGTTGTAAATAAATATATAAGTATTGTATTATTTAATACATATTGTCACATTGCCATGATGTTGCCCATACCAAACACTATGGTGCCAACATGTTACCCATAACAAAGCAGTAATACATACATATACATACATACATCCCAGACACACTCACTGATACTACCAGAAATACAAACACACAAATATTCAGTGCCACACACAGGCTCACATTCTCAGGCCCACACAGATTCACAATATCTGAGATAGATACGCACTCACACAGAATCCAAAATACACTGTCAGACATATGCACACATATATATATATATATATATATATATATATGCAGATATACACATTCACAGTCACACACACAGTATTAGAATAGTTCACACACATTTACTCTGGTGGTGTAGTGTTTTGTAAGTCCTGACAGAAGCCATCAGACAGCCTCCCAAGCACATGCTGCTTCCCTGCTTTTTTATGATGTAAAGTGTACCTTGATATAGTAATGGAGTAGGGCCATACGTGTGTCTGGTGGCTTCTGTAGGATCTACAGCACACTATCTCTAACACTGCGCCAGGTCCCTATTAGGGTAAGCCATTCTCTGATTGCCTTCTTCACCTGGAGCATGCCCAGCAGCTCACAGCAAATGAGATATGCCACCCCACTCAACCACAGCCTAATTAGCTAACCACAAAAATGATAGGCTTCTCAGTGTTTAGTGAGATAATCACAAATCCACATTTTGAATACAAACTCCCTGTTCTATCCACTGCATGGGAGCAACATACTGGTTATGTGATACATTATTGTATCAGTATGGATATTTTCTTAGGCTACTCTTCATATATATATATATTTGTGGTCAGGGAAAAAAGCTGAGTAAATATTAAAATTATTATATACAAAAGTTGGTTGTCGTGTGCCTTTAAATAAATAGGGCAAATAGGAATTTAATAATGCAACACTTTAATACGTTTATAATCAATATACATAAACGATTGTTTATTTAGTGTGCTCTTACTTAGCTAACTCTTTAAACCCATGTCGTAATTATATTTCAGGTTCGGGTATGTATCAGTTGTATGAAGCCGATTTACATTGCCCCAGTCTTTTAATAATGTGTACTGATACATTTTGGCTAGATGCTGCTGTTGTAGCACCTATGGAGAATAAATGGCCAGTAAAAGCCAAGAGATTGCAACAAATTTTATTACATATAACATCAATTTTGAAGTTGTTAAAGGGTTACCATGTACTTTAAGAAGAGGAGCATTTTTAAATGACCGGTCAGTGATAAACAAAACTGGTTAAGTAATTGTACAGGACACAATTTGTATCCTGTGGGGTATAACTGTCGATCGGTGGTCCCATTTTATTTGTTTTGGATTGTCGTAGGGTTAGTGTTTAGTGGAATCCTATTTTGTTTAGATCTGCAATTTGCAACATGTTGGAAGTATCTTTGATTTTGTCTATTGTGGTCATAAAAACCCATAAAATACAAGATATATTGCCGTTTTAGTTGTTATGCTTGTTTGTGTTTCAAAATATTTGGTTTCCAACAGGTCTGATAATGCTCTGAATGTTTCTCTGTCTATAGGTTGACGTTTTGTGTTAAATCCATCTTTATTGAGATTCACAGATTGAACAGTTTTCCCACGCAGGTGAGGAATTGCATACATAGCGAACAGTATGGCAAACAACATTGAATTCAGTTCCTTGTTCAAGTTTGTCAGGACATTTTTTCTTTCCTTTCCTTTTTTTTAATCTTTCTTTTTTTACCCCCACCCCCCTCTTTCCCATTCCCTTCCTTTTCTCTTTTCTCCACTGTGTAACATAGAAACAATACTGGTGGTTTTGAGGAGATACAAAAACATGCCATAGATAGTGGCAGGTGGCATGACAGTGAAATATGATAGAAGTTAGAGTCAGCATGTGTATTAATGATCGAAAAAGGTTTGTGGCATTGAGATTTTGAGGTATTTGGTATACGGCCCACCTTTTTGGTTTTGAGGATTGATATAGAAGAGATTCTTGGTCTGTAGGTTAGGTAATTTTGCTGCAGTCGGGAGCTATCGTAAGTTGGGTATATACCTGCATTGCAGGGGTGTGGAGGAAAAAAAAACAGAGTGGGTCAGGGCTGGACTGGGGATTCCAAAGCAGCCCTGGAAAAAAAATCTATGCCAGCCCCATAAGTCATTGCGCCATATATTGTCGCATGTAATATGTAAGGCTATGTCTTGCAACCCTAGATGATTAAGATATATATATATATATATATATATAAAAACTAACGGATCTTGCACTCCACCAATTCAATATTCAATGCCCGGTGCTTGTCAGCCAAAAATGCAAAAAATATTGCCAGAGATAGCACTCCAAGGACTAATATAAAATAGAACTTTTATTACCTCCACTAAAACAAGGAGATGTCCTGACGAAAGCTTGAGGGGATCAAGCTGAAACGTTGACCTTGTGTTGTTTTAGTGGAGGTAATAAAAGTTATATTTTATATTAGTCCTTGGAGTGCTATCTCTGGCAATATTATATATATATATATATATATATATTTTTCCAATATAAAATATTGGTCCTTTCAGAGTAAAATTTTTAATTATACAGTAAGCATACTCACATGCATACACAGACAATCTCACTGACAAGCTGATTGATACACAGCCTCATACATAAGGTTAT